TACTAGTAGTAAGGCACTTGTTCCTAGTAGCGTGGCACTTGTTACTAGGCTTTGCAACGTTCGAAATCTCGCTTTGGGGTCGTCTCTTTAAGTGAAGCCGGTGCTCTCGAACTCCCAAACTAGGTAAGGGGAGGAAGGAAGAAGGAGTGAAGAGCAGTCGATTCCACTAGAGTAGTTTGTATTGAGAACCATGGATTGGGAACTGTTTACACGATCGAAAGTTCAGGACCTGCCCAAATTTCTTCCAGGATCTCCAGATTACAGATGCTGTTGACTGCGCTACCTTTCGGGACAATCCCCGGCCGACTGATTCTTTCTAACATACACTCGAGGGCTGGCCATTTGTGATGAAATTTCATTCACGGCGCAGGCCACAAAGGTACCATCCAAGCTTTGCTTGGGCTGGCAAAACCACGACTTTCTCCACAGTTCCCAAAGCGTTGCATACTTGAAACCGTTGTGCTGGGACGTACAGGGTGAAATGGACTTGACATCAAGGTTTGGAAGAGTGAGAAAAGGGATATGGGGCCTGTTCATCGTGCCTACATAATCTACACAGAACTTGTTGTTTGTCTCGTAGTCAAGCTGGTGATCACAACATCAATTCATGCTCTGATTAGAGGAATCATCAAGTTGGGACTTGTTATGTTGCCTGTTGGCTGGCCTCCAGCCCAGCCCACAAGTCCTCTGTGAAATGTTCTGAAGCGGGAAAAACAGAAACATCTTAGATGTTTCATTACACGTATTTCGCGATGTGAGAAGCATACCAAGCCAAGTGCAGTTTCCTCTGGCAAATCCCTTTGTCAGGACCGCATGGCATTTGTCAAATATTCATGAGGCAGTTCGGGCTCTGGTACAGGTGGCTCAAAGACCTGCTTCTCGTCATGAATCTGATGCTCTTTTTGGGTATTGATGCGGCCCGATCTCCTCGACAAAAAGGCAATGCAGGGCAATGCAGTATGTGTGTCCAAAGGAGACGTTTTGCTCCTCCGAACTCTCTTGTCGTTGAGATTGGGCCCAATCAGCTTGTCAGTGAGCCGCAGCAGCTCCTACGACTGCCGCAAAGCACATAAACAAAACTTCTGACGTGTGAACAAGCGGGGCCTGTTGTATCCATTCGACTTCTCGCTGCAGGTAGATGACGTCAATGGCTTTGGCAGATCCTTCGAGCATGGAACAAACGCACGGGCTGTTTTACATGAGGCAGTTTAATCATGCCTTTTCATTGAGCCACTTTGAAACGATAAACAAACCATGACATACATATAAGCAAACATGATCTAGCTCAAGTTGGCTTGGCTTCAATGGAGTTCTCAAACAGTGTCGTCTTTTCGCGCAGAACATCGCCTGCATCTGCGTTCTCTACTTGCAACAAGTCTATATAGTCGAAGCCAACTAGACTCAAACCATCGAAAATGTAATCCTTTGAAGCGCATCATCCCAGCAATGAACCTCGGAACAACATTGAGTGCAGCAAATCTTACACTCAGACTCACACCTCTTCACGATCGGCAAGGTGCTCTTCATAGGTTAAATTCCCATCACCATCATCTAGGAGCTTAAATAAATGCGAGCCATCATTTACATCCACATCCTGAGTTTGAGCCAGTGAAAAAAGAACAAAGGCGCGCAATCTCCACTTTCTCAAAGCGCTCCAGGTGGAACTTCAACAACTGACTCCGCCAAAACACCAAGGACGTCATATAGCTCCTGATAGTCGGATCTTGGCACAGTTGCAGGAACTCTTCTTTGGTGACAACACCATCTTGCGAAAGATCCATAGTCTGGAACCTTACATGGATGCAAGTCCAAACTGTTTGACAAATCAACTTCCCCATAAAAAGGTAGAACATCGTGAAGCAAACTGTTCATGTGAGGCACAC